TCCTAAAGAGATACAGTTTGAATAATTGTATTTCAATTACAATGCTCCCTCTATTGGCTTGTTTGTGTCACTTGTATAACATATATTATATTATTCACTTTACCATTTATATTGTTATATTCAGGAATCTATTACTTTAAACTATTTTTATTACTGTGACTAAGGTAAGGCCTATAGAATATAGAAAAAAGATTTAGTTTTTGAGTTAAAGAATAGCTCTCCAAGAATAAAACTAGTTATTTAATAAGAAATAGTTTTTAATAAGAAGGGTAAATAAAAAAAACTTTTTCTTTAATTTTGAAAAACTTATCATAAAAAAAAGTTTTTAAAAAAAATGTTATGTATAGCAAAGAGTTTTTTTTTCTTTATTTAATAATTATTATATAATTTTACAAATAATATAGTATAATTTTTTAGATTTTCTTTAAATTTTTTAGCAATTACAAAATATTATTTAAACAATATAATTAATAAAACCACTAATATATTTTAGAAAGATAAATATATTTTTTAATCAATAGATGTTTTTTTAGCTTTTTTTATATTAATACTACAAAAAATTGGCTTTATATAATATTATTATTTATAATGATATTAAAATTATATTATTATAAATAATATTAAAATAAAATTATTTTTTACTAAACAATTTATTACATATTATATATAATATTTTTGAATATTTTAAAAGAGTTATCAAAATTTATAATTTGTAAAATCAATAAGCTTATTTAATAAAGTTTATTATAGTAACTTATATTAATTTCAAATCTAAATCAAAAATTAAAAAAACTATTCAGTAAAATAATTCTTTATTATATTTTTTAAAAAGTCTTTCAATTAACAATTTATAATTAAATGGTAACTATAATAATAAAATAACAAGAACAAATAAAAATTTTTTATATTCTATTATTTAATTATTTAATTTCAAGTTAATATTCATAGCTATTTGAAACTATTTAATAAAATATATTGTTTTAAATTTTATATTTAATATTAATTAATTGGTTTTTGTAAACAAACTAGTATTAAACTTATTATATATATAATGAGATATTGTTTTTTTTTATAATATATATTTTTTATTATACAAATTAAACAAAGAAATAATTTTTATTCATAAAAAAAATAACAAAAATTAATTTAATATATTTAATTTATTTACAAATAAATAAATAATAATAATTGAAATTATTAATAATTGCTAAATTACTTTTTTTAAAAAAATTATTAGCAATAGCAAAAAAAAAAAAATAAATACTAATTAAAACTTATATTTTTTATTAAAATCGTTGTTTTTATATAATAAGTATAAGAAAAAAAGTTAATTAATCAAGAATTCATAATGTAATTAGTTATTAATTTAAATAAAAAAATAGTTTGTAAAAACAAAAACTTTAAAAAGCAAAAAAAAAATTTTTTTTAATAAAACAGTATTATAAAAATAATTATACAAAATAATAATTATTATTATTAAAGATTGTTTTTTTTTTTTAATATAAAAAATCAATTAATTTGATAAAAAATATTTTTAAAAATATTTTGAACTGAAAAGTTTTTTAAAAATATATATATATTTTTAATGTTAATTAATAGAGCAATTGAATAATATTATATAATTAATATTAAGATATTGAAATACATTGCTATATACATTGTATGTTAGCTTATTACTATTCTAAGTATATGATTAATAAAAAATCTTGAGGCAAGAAAAACCTAATAATAATATAAAAGATTTTTTATTACTATATTTATAATATTTTTTATAAAATTTTTTGACTTAACAACTTTTGAAAAGTATCTTAGCAATAGTTAAGGTTTGAATAATAATTAAATTTCGATTTTTTCCTTGGCAAAGTATTTAGTTATTGTTGTAAAGAACTATTTAAATATTAGGATAATGTTGCTCTTTTGTATTCTAATGTTTTTCTGAAGAGATAATAAAGTTTGATTTATTTTTTTATGATTTAAAGTTATAGTCTTCGTGGTCTAATACTATAAACCGAAATATGTAATAAAAAGAATCTTTCTACTGTATTGATTTTTTCAGTTCACAAATCACATGACATATTTGCGCCGCATGATATTGTTCTAACCATATTTCTTCGCCCTAAACTAATTGATGAAGTAATCAAAAGAAGCAGTATTTTATAAATATTAACAAAAAAGGTTAGGCTACACAAAATAAAAAGTAAGAGCAATCCAACTTAATGAAATAAGCGTAAGAACTTGCGTGACAGACTACCCTCTAATGATTTTTGAATAGGTTGATCGCGTTTTCGGCAATTAAAAAGTCAAAGAGCATTTATTTTTGGTGAGTGCTAGAGAATTTACAAGCACGGAAAACTCTATAATGTTTCTTATTAGTTGCGTTACTGCGGATTATTATGATCGTTTTCTTTTGATTTAACAATTAATACTGTATATGTGAGATGCAGATGAATTGATATCTGTAGAAATATTTCCACTGATCAGATGATCGATCGGTGTTCGATCGCCATATTTGTTGAACGTATTACAGTATTCGAAACGAACCACTTGAAAGTTTGCTACAGTAATTATCGCATCAATAATGATCTTCGGAATTTATCCCTTGAGATAATAGAGTATATTGAAATGATTTCTTTTTCTTTTCTTTTCTTTTTTGTTTATAAAAGGTGTTGAAAAAATTTCATACTATAGTAGGAAATTTTCTAATCTTGAATACAATGATAATTTAGGTGTTCCCATTGATTAATAATTAAAGTTACTTCTAGCGGAATTATCACTCTGATATTTGCTTAATAAGACATACAGTAAATCATTTGTTAAATAAACAGCACCCACTTATAGTTATATTTGTTGCTGTCCTTTTCTCTATCTACATGACATAATATTTATATTATATCCACGTGATTGCATCGCTTTTTTATTCTCGGCGGAAAATGTAATATTTGCTTACTTTTTTGACCATATACTTTGCTATAATATGCCTCTTATATTGTTGTCGTTGTAACCGGTGAGTCTGTCGCAACCCCAGGTATTTCTTGCGTTACTTGATAAGGTAAGTGCACTGATGTTAATTAGGCATTAACTTTTGAGGTGGCTTTTCTCTCATTTGGATTCTTTTAGAAATTTCATATTATAGTCAAGTTCAGATTCTTCTGCCACTCCCGCTAATAAGTTACGAGTATTTTATACACGTGAAACGGAGGCTAAAGTTTATATTTAAGGCTTAGACTTTATTAAACGTTACTATTACAACGATTTACCTTTTGACTAGTTATTTTTGCTACAATATTATACTTTTAATTTGGTTTGCATCTTTTTACCTTGGATTACTCACATAATTTGCTAGACCTTTATCATTCATTATACTGTAACGGTGACCGGCGAGTCTGTAGCTAATGATAGCTAAGATTCGCGTAACGATTGGTAAGTATTTTTGTTAAGGGTGAGGTTTTGGCCGGAAAAACCAACCATCTTTATTAATTTTCTCTTTTTTTTTTATACTTTTTAAATGATAAAATGATGCATACTAATTTAGCTAAAGTTTCTGAAATCTTATTACGAAGGTTATCTTCACATTTCGTTTTATTACATAATTTAATGAACCGATTCATAGTGCCACGTATTCCAGTCATGAGACAATTATCGTAATTTACCAACTTCTTGTCATTTCTCATTTTCCTTGCTTTCGCAATTTTTATCACACTGTTGTGTTCGATTATGCATGTTCTTTCAATAATACCGCGGGAATCCGGAATTCAGTGTGGATCATGTTACCCGGGTTATAATATTCACAACTTTACAATAACATACCTTCCTAGACTTCTTTCATATTCTATGATGTATTTATTAATAATGGTCTGAATGGAAGAATAACATTTATTCTACCAGATAATACGCTTCAATAATCAACCTTAATGTTACGCCATTTAAGGCTAAAAATTAGCAGTAAACAAGACCTTACCAAGAAACAAATTATCCTGTCACGTATCGCAGCCATTGCTTAACTCTATATACTCTATCTATACGGGTATAATGTTTGACTATAAAAATTCCAATAGAATTGTTCTTTATAAAGTAATCTATTACATATACTGTAATTAGAACTTCCCAATTTGATAGTAGTCTATCTATTTATGTACTAATTTCATTAATTACTAATTTAGTTGGTACTGGGTATTGAGAGCCGGTGCGTATAGCTTATGTTAAGTGTAATATTCTGAATATTTAAATTATAGCATTTATAGTGTAATTGTCTCCGACCAGTTTTCGCTATCCCGGACCAGCTGTTCGTGGAACGATATTAATAAGTCAAGTTCTTTTAAAATTAAAGGTTCACAGACTTTTGTTAATCCCTGCTCCTTTTGTTTCTTTATTATAAACTCTGATTGTAACTCCTTTAGCAGCTAATATTAAGTTAAACACACGTGCCATTCTCTTTTTCTCTGGTACACTGGTACAACAACTTATTCCTTTTTCGTGTGCCCCTTTCTTAGACTCAGGCCACATGTTGCGTATGTATCGCGAGAGAAAGTATTTTACTATGCCAATAAAATACTTAAATTTGTAAAATTTATTTATTAACATTGCAGGAATATGTTTCTGTACAGTATATACAGCATATACGGTATTTGAGCTTTTATTTAATATTTAACATGTAATAATTGAAATATATTTTGTCTGATTTCTTTTTTTAAAAAATTTTCAATGACATTTAGTTTGGTATTATGATATGAAACTTTCATTCTATTAGAAATATGTACATTATGACCACTAGAATTATTTGCAATAATAAATATAGTATATGAATAAAGAAAACCTATCAAAAGAAAACATATGCTGCCATAAATTATTGATCGGATCATTTTTTAGCACATACGCCCGAAATATCGCAAGATTTTCCGAATAAGTCGACCCAGAGCGTTAACTGGTCTGATAATACACCCAGAAAGGCAAAAAGAAATATTATAACTATACCCGAAAAGCAAAACAAAAAATTCCGCTTTTTACCACATTCCGCTGTCTTTTCTCCCTTGATGTGGGAAAGAAAAGCCACGATAGAATTAAAGGACCATATTGCGCAGATAATTGACAGAAACTTACTCCGACAGTGGTATCCCACTGGCGGAGTAAAGTACGCCAAGATTACCGCAGTCCATGGAAATATTATAGTCAACAGAGCAATAAGTGTAACGGAAAAAGATATAATTTTTTTTTTACGTGGGTTAAGTCGTTTTACTATTATCCTATCTTTAATTCTCTTACGGGGATCAATGAAGACTACTTTCCCATATATTACTCGTACGTAAATTGCGGGTAGCATCCATGCCAGAGACATGGGAATGTGGGGCCAATCTTGCTCTATGCATTGACCGACAATTCGAGAAATCCCGGAAAATACGCCAACCATAATGTGGTACGCAGATGCGATGGACGCCAGCCTATCAAGCGCTGATGCCTCGGCGATACAACCCTTCAACAGCTCCTTCTGTTCGTCAGAAAGGACCAACTCTCGGGCATGGTATCCGAAAACTCTATATGGTATAGGTTCATAGTCATCTTCATCTCCTTCTTCGTTAAACGCAAATCTACCTTTATTATTATCTCTAATCATCTTAAAGCTTGTATGGGGCAGCCAGTAGACACACATGGCAATTTGATCGTGGCCTATGACGCAAAAGTACATGAGGCCGCAAAAGGGCGACCCTAAACACCGAAATATCCATAACATCTTGGTGATTAGACCTTCGTAGGGGGTCGTCCCCACAGTTGCGATTGCTGGAAGACATCCCAGTACATATTGCGGGGCGGGTTCACGTAATTTTACTATTGCATCTTTAAAACCCATCTTTCGAAACTAGATAATATATTGAGTGATATTTATTCCAACATTCGTTCTTTAAAGTTCCTTAAATAAATTCGATATGTGTCACAGTGAAACCAACTCCTTTGCCTTTTTCAACGATGCAGTTTTATTGACCGTGTTTTTCCTGGTACAATACGTGTTACAAAGAAATTATCAAGATATTTTTTTAATTCAGGTGCAACAGAAAGATGCTATGTAATATACATTCTCATTGGGTATGAAAATAAATTGCTTCGATCTCGAAATCAATTCTTTTTGTACTTGCTTTTTGTAGAATAATAATGTAAAATTTATTTATTTTTAATAAGACAAAAGAATGGATTAAGGTTTTTCTGTGATCTAAGTACTACAATAAATATAAGGCGTTCGTTTTTTGGACTACTCAGAACTAAATTGCATGAAACCACATGATGATGGTCACATTTTACGCCATTATGCATAAATAAAAAACAAATGAAAATTCCACGTAAAAAAAAAATTGCCATTCAGACATCAAAACTATAATACTGTACTGTAATTATTCATGACAAATCTCAATACAGCATCTTATCATTTTATTTTATAATTACAGTATAAGTAAATTCGCATTTCCTTTTATGGACCATACGCCTAACTTCCAATTATGATCGTTATTAAACGGGAAGATTTTCTAAGGTTAACCGCCATTTTCCAATCGAGACTCATTGTAATCACATGCATTACGATGATAAGGTAGTAGGTAATGATTTTTTTTTCAAAATGGTCAAACAATAGAGACATCTGGACACTTGATTTTTTGTACATACGTGATGTAACGATCAAAATTTTGAATTCCGATTGATTATTGGTCACACGCAGACTTGTTGAGTATAGTCTTTACATTGTAAGTACAAAAATGGTTTTTAAAATAATATTCCTATAAGTTATTTTAAATGATTATTTTTCTATATGCAGTAATTAGTATGATTTAAATCATTACAGAATCATACAAATTACCAAAAGAAGCCCGAAATCGATAAAAATTTCAAAATTTCAAATTCAATATTTACGATTATAAAAATTTCTATTTTTTGATTTTATTTTTTTAAAAAAAATATTATAATCTATATTATTATTTTATTATATTTTTCAATCACTAGTATAATATATGTAAAGGTTTTATACTTGCAAGGTTATTATATTTTTGAATACTGTAAAATGCAACTTGTTATAAATTTAAATAATAATAGTTGTATAACAGTTTATTGGATATATTTTATCTAATTATTAATAAATAAACAATATTGAATTTGATAATAATAATTATATTGATTTTTTAAAATATAAATAATTTGACCTTTTTAAAAAAAATCATTAAAAAAAAAACTAGTTGGAGCTTATATTTTATAAAAAATTGTTGATTTTTAAAATAGGTTCTAAATAAAGAAAATTAATTAATCAAATAAAAATAAAATATTTTTTTTAAAAAAAAATCTAATTTCTTTTTTTTTTTTAGAGTTAAGATGTAATACACACATGATTTATTATTAACTATTACTAATATTAATTGCATTAGCAAAATAAATAAGATGATATATATCAATTAATAACAATTTAAATATATATTGATTATAATTTCCTTGCTCATTATTATTAATCTAAATATAAATTAATATGTATTGAGTATTGATTTAAAATTTAAACTCAAGATTTATGACAATTTAAACTACAATTTTTTTTTTTAATGTTAGAGTGAGGTATTACCCATGATCTTTATTAATAAAGTAAAAGTTTAACGTGTTACATGATTAATATTAAGATATGAATTATATCGCTATAGATATTAACCTACCACCCATTAAACAAATATATCATCTGAAAAAC